TTCTGGAGAATGCATTTGTAGCAGGATCATCTATCTATTCATTCATCCATCTAGATCCATCCATCACACATGCACACACACACACAAACACACACACATAGACACAAACACACACACATAGACACACACACGTACGCACGCACATACATTGTTGATTAGATGCAACTTTGGCGTTTCATTTATCCTCTCTTCAGTTCTTTTACACGTTCGATTCAAAATAAAATAAAATAATGTTGATAATAATAATAAAAATATACTTGAATATATAAATATATTTGAATATATATACACACACACACACAAAACACAACACACATACACATTCAAATTCACACACGCATATTCACACACAACACACACACATTCAAATTCCCACACGCATATCCACACTCACGCACACACAAACACACTCGCACATACTAAAGAATTTTACCATATCCAATGATTATATTGAAATTTAACATTGCGAATCATCAATTAAACCGAATGACGGACCAACCTCACTCGAATATCTGCCTGACATCCGACGAATAACAAATTACCGATCATTAATTACTCGCCATACCGACAATGCCAAACAAACGTTCGCTCGTTCATTCAAGGGCGGTACCATTATTTAGAGAAAGGGGGTGTACAAAATACTCAGCGGGTGATTGATTTTCGTTAATTAGGAAAATGCAAATAGCATGGATAAATGAATAGTTGCAATAATAATGATCGCACTGAAATTTGATGATCTAGGAATGCCTGAAACTAATATTGTACGAAGATGTTAATACATATGTATGAAGACGCTGTATACACGTACAGCAGTAAGTACACGCACAAATATTTGTATGTATATTTACCTCTCTCTCTCTCTCTCTCTCTCTCTCTCTCTCTCTCTTTCTCTCTCCCTCTCTCTCTTCTTTCTCTCTCGATCTGTATGTGTCTGTGTGTGTAAACCAATCAAATTTTTTTGACAGAAAGCAGAAGACATAAACTGGAATTGCTACTGGAAAGCTAATCTTTTCATAGAGAACGCCATCGGCGATCCCCAGGGCAAGGTCACCAAAGCCCTCATGTTTGACAGGCAGGGTAAGGCTACTGTTGTTGAGACGCGCATTTTGAAAGGGGCTTTTATGGAGTTCATGGAACTTAATCAATTTCCGTTCGATACGCAGGTTACTTTGTTTGTCTGTCTGTCTGTCTGTGTGTTTGTCTATCAATCTGTCTGTCTGTCTGTTTGTCTTTTTGTTACCGGCATACATACACACACACACACACAAACACTTACATGCGGAACAAAATCAAATTTTATTTAGCAAC